CTTTTCAGATGTGAGAGATAGCTATGGATCGTCTCGTGCTCTCCTCCCTCTCGAGCGATAGAAACGATTACACCTGTTGTTCTTTTTTTCTAACGTGTCAATGGACGGTTATGCCACAGCTGTTTCATATGCACGTATGCTAATGTAGTGTCCATAAGGAAGGCTATCCATGGCAATTGTATGTGTTAGTCGTGTTAAACTGAAATGACAGTGATATACGTCACCTTTGTCAATCTGAGATGACAATTGTGTACGTTAGTCACGTAAATTGGCCTTGACAATTGTATACGCATTCATGTAACTATGCGATGACAACTTTATAAATAATTCGTGTCTCTCGTTGCTCACGGTGGAACATGTTCCCAATGCCCTCTAAAGATGACAGTACACCCGATAATCATCCTACAGTTTATGTAAGCCGTGTTTAGATATTGTTCATATGTCACCATTAGACATTAGTGAGAAGGACGAGCGAGGAGTATATAAAGCGGTGGAACACACACAGAAAGGGGCGAGTCTCTTCCCAGAGCATTTCTTCCGAGATAATTCTCTCCACAGAGCAGTTTCTTCATGGAGCCTTTTCCGAGTTAGTCCAACGCCGATAGTCTGTGGATATTTATTATCTTATAAGTAACGTTATATAGTGGTGTACCTTAGTCACTGTGTCCAAGTGTTCTTTATCCTTTCAACACTCAAGCGTGTCTCTTATTATATTTAATTGGTGTGTGGTGTTCTTATCATCAAATCAATAAAGATTTGTGAATTGGATGATCACTCTCACCTTCTTATCACCCTCAAACAAATGTAGTTGGCTCTACATCTTGTATATTAATACAAACAAATATAGTTAGGCCCCTCGAATAATAACTATAGTTTGTTCGAAGAATATATTACGTTACACTTTCAACATACGGTAATTTGTTTCTGCACGAGGTTGCTTGATATCCGTTGCAGGTATTGTATACAGAATTATATATCTAGAATAATAAGGAAAGATTGAAGTAGTTTTCGATTCACAGTGAGGAAGTTTAATATGATTTACAAAAATGGAAAATGTGAGTTATAGGCGGAATGAAATAGAAGTTGTTATGTTCAATGTTGGAATAGAATAGTTTCAAAGTTAACAAATACAAGGAAGAAGGTGTTAACACATTTCATATAGTAATAGTAAGAGAATATGTGCATAAAATTTTTTTAGAGTACACAGGAGGTTTATAGTAGGATCGTATCATATACACAAATAGAAACAGATCAATCTATATCCCTCCGATAGAAATCAATCTGCTAGTCTCAACTCTCACTTTTCAGCAATCGATGAAGCCGTAATTATTTGTTCAAATTGCAATTGATATAGTTAATCAAATTATAAAAGAAATGCAGAGTTTAATTTCGCCGACGCGTTTCGCGTTTATTTTATTAAAATTTTAAGCACTCATCAGGGCTCTGCATTCACAATTATAAGCATCAACTACAACATATATCTAACGAAAAATGTTAGAGAAATTTTACATAGGAGAGATTTTACATAAGAACACAACATCTGCAATAGAAGTATTGCATTAATTTAACGTTGCGAACAAAAAATGTATAAAAAGTTATTCAAAAAATGTTTATTTAACAATAGTGCGATTAAATATTAATTATAATATTTGCATACTATCCTCTAGATACAGTTCCAATCGTTGTCGTTGTATTTAATTTCATGATATTGTTATCATTTTGTTATGATCTGGAATTAATATATTTTGAAGGATATTTTCCATCTGGTTGCGGTTCAACGCTTGAATCCATATCAATATTTCACTTCAATTATAAAATCTTGTATATCATCTGATTTAATTCAGAACTAGTGTTCTGTCCATATGGATAGATCTCTGTCTGCTGCAACCAAAAGTATACCCTATTAACGGCGACAAATAGTTATGATAATGCCATTTTTGGATTAAATTCATAAATAGGACAGCTTCTGAATATCTTTCAAGTAGAAAGTAGCATGAATAATTTTGATTGATTCTTATTTTTATAATTTGAAATTATGTTTACAATACAAATATCAATATCTGCCACTCGATAATGGCAATATAATTGAAACTCAACATTTGAAACTTGATAATGTTGATACGATAAATAAAAAAGCTAAAGAATCTCTATGTATCATTTCTATGTATCATTTCAGTATTGTCAAATCAGCATATAGATAGCAGTACAACGTAACATTCTTGCCCCTTTGGCAACTGATAAGCGCACACTTTGTCTGGCTATCTGTCAATATAACAATGCAAAATACCATAATCATTTATTATATTATTTGTATAATTCATTTGCATCACCACTTTACTAAATATTCTTTAAAATTGCCGGATTTAAAAAGTATAATAAGTGATCAGTGATATACGATATTATAAAAAATAAATCATATATGATATTATAAAAAATTAATCATACATGATAATGATATTGTAAAAGGGAATCATACATGATAATGATATTGTAAAAGGGGAATCATATATGATATTATAAAAACCAGTTGGAGTAATAAATCACACGAATACATATATAGATGATAATGTTTCAACTTATGTCCAAGGCTTACAGTCTTAATTTATATCATTACATAATCAAAATATTAGTATATACATTGACAGAAACTAAAAGTTATAGTAATTAAATCATCATTATCTAAATTAGCAAAAATAACATAATTTCAATATTATATCAACATATAGATACATATAAATGAATTGATATTTTATAGCATAATATATTTATAATTAATAATTATCCGTGCCTATATTAATTATTAATCAAAAGAATTCACTAAATATTAGATCGACTCCTATAAGTTACATCATCATTTTATGAAATTTATTCCTTGCAACTGTTTCAATAATAATATAACGTAGGATAATAGTCATTTAGCTTATAATATGTAATTCATAATGTGTAATATCATGTGATCTCATGTGTCATGAACAACATCATTCGAAATGAAATAATAAATTATAATACAATCAAATCTATATTTTATATTATTATAATAATAAAGAATCCATAAGTATAAAGACTTTGATAAATAATTTTTGTGCATACATTAATGATATTATGAAAAGAAATCAAATATTATTTGTCAACTGCCTCTGTAAATTTTTAACATTACGTGTACTGAGTACAGGTGTAACTTCATTAATCGGAGATTCCCCAAAATATTTGCTCCATAATGTATGAAATTGAAATGGGAATGCTTTCATACTTGAGCAATACGTAAAGTGAATAAACAAAACTTTATCGTAATTAATTTCAATATTTTCTCTGTAAGATGAGTCTATAACATTCAGACGGTATTTATTGTAATTAATAGATGTCAATGGCTGATCAATATTGAATTTTAATAGAACATTATTAAATTATTGCTCTATAATTTTATTGGGATATTTTTTCAGTAGTAACGCCAGTCGTAGCTTTTCACGTTCATCGAAGTATGTTTTAAATAAAGAGCAATACCTAATGGCGCGTAATAACATTGTAAAAGGTATATTCGTTTTCATATGCAATGGATGAATACTATTGAATGGCAAATAATAAGGCTCATAAGATGGCTTTTGATACACTGTAGTAAACAGCTGACCATCTCGATTTTCCAGATACAAATCCAGAAAATTTACAAAAGAGCCAACATTAGCTTTTAATATAATATTTTCGTCAAATTTATTCCATCTGTCGATTTGTTTTAATAGATGTCTGGTGGGCCAATTAATAACAATAAATAAATCGTCTATGTATCGAAAATAGAGTCCATCACTGTTTTTAATTTGTTTGGCAATCGCTCGTTCAAAAAAGAACATATAACAATTAGCCATCGTCAAAGTTAAGGGAGATCCCATAGCCCCAGCTCTAATTTGATGATAAAATTGACCGTCATACCAAAAATAATTGTTTTGCATTACAAGACGACTTAATCTTATAATAGTTTCTGCTCTTAAGCCATTAACTTGTTTCAATTTCAGATAATCTAACATTTTCTTCAATGATAACACTCCTTCTATTTGTGGAATCATTGTGTATCAATCAATAACATCCATGGTGCAAAATATAGTGCTTTGATTCATATTTAATTATGACTATTCAACTAATTTCTTGATTAATTCAAAGCCAGAAGTAACTGGTTTCTTGGGCCATTTTATCAAATAATGGTCTTAAAAGATCATCAAGAAATTTAGAAATCTTAATTGTAGGATGTTTAACACCACTTATAATTGGACGTAGAGGAGTACCAGGCTTATGGGCTTTTGATAAATAACATAAATGAGCCAATTCAGCTTCATCTGGTTTAATACTCAATAATTCATATTGCTTTTGAGTAATACATTTAGGTAATCTTAAATCTAAAAAAAAATATTTATTGGTTCTTTGACTTACATCAGGCAATGGATCAACTTTTCCAAGGCATTGATACGCTTGAGATTTCTCCAAATATGCCTTTAATTTCTTACGATAATCTTCAATTTTTCCATAATGGAATA